CAGAATCGAAGATTTTGAGTCATAATTCAGGACTCGTGATTGTGGGAAATGAAGATGGCAAGCCTGGCATGCGCATGAAGATCAACTTGAAAACCGAGGGGACAGACAGTCCCCCAGATTCAACTCTGTTTTAGTCACAGTGGATCGGGCCATTCTTTAAGAACGCCACTAGCTACTCCTATTCACCGGTTGATCCCTTCCTCAAATTTTACATCGCTAGTAAACATGAATCCGAGGTACTTGAACTTCTTCATCTTCAACCGTCTCTCCGTTAATCAGAAAAGAACAACGAGAAAGCACTAGGTTTTTCGTTTTAGATGCGTTCAGTTCACATGCATGCCGGTCACGTCGCACTCAGCTGCGAACCTTTCTAGGGAGCACTATAGGTCGGTTTCAGAAGATGCCAATAAAACAAGGTCGCCTGCAAATAGCAGTCTTCTTGTCTTCACATCTCCTTTACCGATACACTCATCGCCTTGACTGCTCCTGACTATTGTATCCATGTACAACACAAACAGGCGAGGGGACAGGACGCAGCCTTGGCGAAGAACAGTACGAACGTTGAATAGTTTCGACTTAATGTAATTTACGCTGAAGCGGCACCTGCTATCAGAATACAGTGATTCGATGGCCCTTAGCAGCTGGCCTCAATGCCGTATGCTCGAAGGTATGACCATAGACGGTTGCGTGGGGTCCGGTCATAGGATTTTCTAGGTAAATAAAACGTATGTGCACCGAGCTCGCGAAATCCCACGATTTCTCAGCAATCTGGTGCAGGGCAAATTTATGGTCAGAGGTGCTTCGACGGGGCCGGAAGCCACACTGCTCTTCATTGATCTTGGAGTCAGTTATTTCACATCTTTTGCAATCTCGAAAATCAGCGTACACAACTTATGAAAGAACTTCGGTACTGACCGTTTCCTGTCTTTCTTCATTTTTCGTTCTTATTTAGTGCTTTAAATACTTGCTAAGCACACTAGTGCTATCTGTTGTATCACAAGGTAAGAAACGAGAAAAACTTCACAAAGACTGTCGAAGTCGTGGATTAAACGTCGTTAATCAGATTTATACGCTTAAGACCTTTTACATGAAAGGCAGAAGTAGGTTTCGATCATTCAGTCATCCACACTTTGACTATCATTGAGACATGTGTGTCATTTCAAATATATCAAGGCAACATTTGAATAGGAAAAATAATATAAGTCGAATATTTCAAAAATGAATCGAAAACTTCCGCGAATTGCTTCGTCTGCACTTCGAATTGATAATTGTTGAAAATTTAATCAAATAGCAGTTTATCAATCAGCTTATCTAAATAAATCATGATGTGACTAAACACAAAATTTTACCAAATCAGTATAACGATATAAGAGGTAGTAGTACAGTAAATAGCGTCTAATGTTTTAAAAAGTGCCACCATAGTATCAAAGATTTCTTTAATGGTCTAGCTCATGTAAATCAATTATTGCATGACTCCTCCGAAATGAAATTTCACTGTTCATTGCTCCTGTTTTCTCGGATCTACTAGGCATAGCACATCTTTATAGTTTTAAACACAGGTCGTGTTAAAAGTGTCCCATTATTTGTCTTCCAGAACTAACTCGCTCTGAATTAACGTTGACTGTGTCGTAGTGGATAAGGAGTACCAGCACCTGGAAAACCATTGATATTGTTTCAGAAGTTCGCAGTAGCGTTGCAGCAAAAGCATATCGTTACTTTCTTCCTCTAGATAGAGTCAATTCAAATACACTAAGCGTATTTTGAGTTGAATTTTTTTGCAGATTATTAATTCTCACGCATATTCTACAAATGAGGTAAAAGGATTTGCAGGTATAACTTATGAATCAAGTCATACTATTTATGAATCCTCGAAAGTTTTTGGTTAGGGATGTGAATAGTCACCGCAAGTCACGTTAAGTTAGGTCAGGTCAGGCCATGTCAAGCCAGATCAGGTCAAATTAAGTCAAATCAAGTTTGTAAGCTTGTGCAGCAGGTGTTGCTAATAACATAATATGCATGTAAGCCCATCGTAATCGTTCACGACGATGAAATTTATGGCTGGTAATCAAAAATACTTCGACGGTAAGATGTCAGTTTTCTAAAGGTCGGTTTCGACCTGATGTTGGTCGGTCGAAATAAGTCGATTAATTATCATTAAAAGTCATCTTGGAAAATTTAGATTCGTATCTGTTTGAATCGCAGTTCGAAACGTGAATTTCGGACACTTCTGTTTGGGGCCTTTATGTATTTAGTGTGATAAATGAGCCTTTGGTTTAAGATGACGCTTCACTTTCTCTCTGTTAATTTTTGAATTTTGCCTGAATGACGGTTCACCGTCATTATTCTTGACTCATTTTTGGTATCATCGTGAATTCAAGCTGACCAAGTTTGAGCCGCTGAGTTGCCATTGCCCTTATATCAGACTATCTAATGTTTCCAGTTTTTTTTTTGTCAAGGCAGGATTCGTTGCCGTCCGGGCAGGGTTGCTGTTCTCAGGTCATGATCATAATTTCAGGCCAGTTTGCCTCAAGATGACTTAATATTTGGTCCTGCCCGGACGGTAACCATAAGGGGAAAGATGTCAAAAATAATCATTTCTATTCTTATTTTGGGATAAGTCAAAGGAAGCCAGATGTCGGTTTCTGAGTTCTGTGAATTTTCTCAGATGGTGTTCGTAAGCAGGTTTTCGTGGTTTGAAAAAGTTTCACAGGCAGCAACTGTTATACATCAGTTCTGCTAGCCATGAAGTTTGGAATACACTGATGGTTCTGTTTAAGCAATTAGAAGTTAATATTGGTTCATGCTGGAAGAATAGTCGTGATCGGCTGTTACCTGTGTGTTGATGGCACCAACGACGGAAACGAACCAAGAACCAAATGCAGGCAGATGCTGAATTGAAATTTCTCGGGATTGCCTGCAATGTTTGTATGATCAAATGCGGCGTAAAGGTTTATTCTGAAGTACATCATGACGAATCTGTGAACTGCGATTCGGTCGCTCGTGTGCGCGATGCAGAATCAGTGTCAGGACAACGTAAATTCCGCATCAGGCTTGGAACCTCATGCATTGATCCCCCTTTCACCTTGCTCCATATTGTTGAACAATCTAGATTATACTAGTTGCAATTCACTGCTTCGTTTATAGACTTCCTTACTATATTTGTCTTTGTACATCTAAATGCAACTTGGGAAATCGTTCCACGATACACGACTGCTCTGAAAATCATATTCATGCTGTGCAGCATCAACGATGGTAGGTGAACGCCACGAAAATGAATGGTCGACAAGGAAACGTGATATTGCCTCTGTTGTTCCTCATTGTACTGGATTACGTACCTAAAGGTGGCGTGGCCACAGTATTCGAGTATGTTTCTTTTTAGCCACTGTAACTCGAAACATCCAACGAATCTTATGCAAGACAAAGTATGCCGACATGATTCTTCTCAGTTGTGCAACCATCGAACTGCACTACATGTTTAGGCACTTAATAGTCGTAGAAAGCGTTCCGTAAAAGCTAAGTACTTAGAATAAGAAGGTTGTTGTTGAAATCATCACCTTGAGGCCTTTGCGTAAGCGTAG